CATGTAACCCCTTGCCTTAAAACCTGCCAGTGGCAAGCGGAAGGACCCAAGTTCAATCCCTGGTAACCCCCAAAAAAACCTGCCAGTGGATTTTCACTACACTAGGAGTAAAATCCAATTTCTTTACTGAAGCCTGCAGGATCCCCACCTCCTCCTCAGACCTGGCCCTGTGCACACCCCAACTACCTTGGCCCTATGTCCTCTCCCTATACCCTGAGCTCACACCTAGCGCAGGTGCTCTGCACATGCTGCTCCTTTTACCTGGAAGCTCTTCTCCCAAAACACGGAATGGCTGCCTCACCACTAAAGTCTTCGTTCAAATGTCACCTTTCCTGTGAGATCTTCTCTGACTACCTCTGTTAAAGTCATGCCACATCCCATACCTACTCTCTCTTCCTTCTTATCCTATTTTACCTTCCTCATGGCATTCAGTAGCTACAATTTTTTTGTTGTCTACTTAATTATTTTCCATCTCTCCTCCTAGCTTTGCCTCTGGTGTCCTCAGAACTACAGGCATGTACCACCATGCCAGTTTTAGCTCCCTCATTCTTTTATTTAATTAATTTTTTGGTACCGGAGATCGAACTCAGGACCTTGCATTTGCAAGGCAGGTGCAGCACCACTGAGCTAAATCCTGGCCTGCTCTTCTTCCCTATTTTTGTTCACTACTGCATTCTAAAAGTCTAGAATAGTGCTAGGCATTAAGCTTTCAATAAACATTTTAGAAAACAATAATCAGCAGGGGAGGGAGAAAATGAGCAAGGTGAGAACTTTTTCCTCTCGCGAGAACTGACGTTTTGGCAGCGGCAGAGCAATAAATTCAATTAAAGAATATCAGAAAAGTATATGGAAGATGTATGTGGCATTGTTTGTGGTTGTTAAAACTCCAGCCAAATATTATCCCCACTGTAAAAAACAAAACAAAAAGAAGTTCTACTTGCAGGATGGGCATTGTTCTTATTCCTTGTATACAAAGTTTCCAAAACAGACCCAGAATATCAAGAATACAATCCTTATGAAATATTAAATTTGGATCCTGGAACAATAGCAGAAATTAAGAAATAGTATCGTTTGCTGTCACTTAAATATCATACAGATAAAGGATGTGATGAAGTTGCATTCATGTGGAGAGCAAAAGCTTATAGGGCCAGGGATTTAGCTCAGTTGTGTGGGTGCCTGCCTCGCAAGCACAAGGGTCCCGAGTTCAATTCCCAGTACAAAAAAAATCTTATACGGCTTTAACAGATAAAGAGTCCAAAAAAAATTGGCAAGAATTTGAAAATCCAGATGGGATTTTCAAGCCACAAGTTTTGGAATTGCCCTGCCAGCGTCGATAGCTGACCAGAAAAATTTTGATTTCCTTGTAGATAGATTGGCAATTATGGTTATCCTTCCAGTTGTTTGTGGATTCCTGGTGGTTTCGCCTGATATGCTATAGTGGAGACCAGATTTTAATACGCACAACACAAATTTATATACTTTCTCCCACACCCCGAACCAGGGATCGAACTCAGGACCTTGTGCTTGGAAGGCAGGCATGGTGCCACTGAGCTAAATCCCCTGCTATACATACTTTGTTTATAAAACCCGAAATATGGCCATGAAACGTCTCATCATGGTTTTGGCTGGAGCTTCTGAATTTGATCCTCAGAATAATATAAAACAAATAAAAATAAACATTTCAGGAGCAGTTAGTTTGGAAAGCAATGGTGTGCTCCTCATTGTGCCCGGGATGCCATTCTCTTCGAAATTTGTGTACTAATTAATTCACTCACTCAAGTCAACAGATGACCCCAGGAAAGCATCACAGTGAACACCTGACCACATAACCTGTTCAAAATTCAAAACAAGTTGCAAGCACAAGATCCTGAGTTCATCCCCAGTACCAAAAAACAAAAACAAACAAAAAAATCAAATCAAGTTTTTTTTTAAAAGCATGGCATGTTATAGAAAACTTCTGCCAAAGATATCAGACTTCTTTTTTTTTTGGTACCAGGGATCGAACTCTGGTCCTTGCACTTTTGAGGCAGGCGCTGAACCACTGAGCTTAATCACCAGCCCCAGACTTTTTAGTGAGCTGACATCCCAGATTCATGTGACAGTGGCTACATGACCTTCCCAAAGCCACGTAAGAACTCTGACTTCCCCAAGGTCACGAGAACTCAAACCCCAGTACTTAAGGCAAAACCAAACTGAGAAGTATATTTAAAGTCCCAACCCCTCTCATTTACCATCCATAGTTATATGCACAAAAATACATATTAAAAACCAGAGAGCAAATTCAGCTTTTCAAAAATCTTCCCTTACATTTTCTTCATTGTTTCTTTCTTTTCTCTTTCTTTCTTTCTCTTTTTTTCCAGACAGGGTCTGGCTATGTAGTTAAGGCTTAACAATGTTTCTAGAGCAAGCAGTGGGTGCTCAAAAAATATGAGGTGAAGTAGGAATAACTGCATCAGTAGAGTTCAGCAGACATGACTACTAAGTAACCATCACTTTTCACAAGTATCTAAGCACAAAAGAGGTACACATGGAGATTTTTCAGCCGAGGTTAGCTGGTCATAACTTGAGACAGCCTGGCTATCTAGGCATTGTGTTATAATTCAAAGTGAATATGTAATACTGTTCATTCATTTTAGATAAATGAATATACAAGTAGACCTGAATTTTAATCCTGATTCTACTTTTGGAAGTCATCCAGGCTCTCAAGATCTTGGATTCTCCACCTACAAAAGAGGTTAAACTATATGGTTGTAAACATATTCTACTTGCTCAGCACATTAAAACAACCCAGGTACTCAATATTTACTTAATAAAGATCATCCCCAACTGATAATGGAATGAATACATGGCTCAAGGTCACAGGACTAGGGTGGAGCAGGAACTACAGCCTGGTTTTCTTTTTAGACTATTCTAACACTTATACTTTCCAAAATCCTTTTCAGCTAAAAAAGGAACATTATTCCTTTCTCCCAAGCTCAATAAGTCATTTATCATATCCAATAATCTTGCCTGACTCCAGTAAGACAAAGGATAGCAGGAAAAGAAGGAAGTATGTCCACATCATTAACCTTGAGACTCAAAGACCTGAAGAGATAAATAGGTACAAGTTCCTTGCGTTTTCTCAGAATTGAGATCACAAGTATTTTCAGATAAATGCTGTACGGTTTAAATTTAAGCAGTGTGATGAAAATAACTGCAAATAACAATGCTTTCTGAAGAATACAGCACATAGGTTCTTTATTATTTCTATAATCAAAACTTATGCCACTTTATCCGAAGAAGAGTCACAAAAGTAATTGTAAAGGCTTGACACAGAATGTCTACAGAGACTTGCTTTATTTTTATTAACAAAATACACATTCCACATCGAACTTCTGAATATAACACCTTCATGCGAGGTCAAGTTAGGGGTGAAATAACTCCTGACAGTCAACTTTCTAGATGGCTTATAATAGGAGAGTCAAGGTCAAACTGTTGAGTCTCCTTACCCTCCCAGCTAGTATTTGAAAAGCTTCTAATTGTGAACTCGAAATACTCTATTCTGTACTCTCATAAATACAAGCAACCATACCCTGAATCAGAAAGTTCTGGAAGGACAGGTTGATATGAACAAGATTAGCGGTTGAGGCTAGGGATTTAGCTCAGTGGTTCTGCTGCCTGCCTAGCAAGCGCAAGGACCTGAGTTCGATTCCCAGTACCAAAAAAAAAAAAAAAAAAAAAAAAAAGATGAGCAGTTAACAGGATTACCGCTTGGGTCACAGAAAACTTCTGAGATAATCTGAGAGCTGGAACTTTTATCTACTTTTCTTGCAGTTTCATCCCCTACCAAGTGGAAAAATTCATCTCTCATCTGTTTCATAAGATGATTACTCAATCAAATGGTATTAGAAAATATTAAAACAGTCTTGAAATCGGGTGCTAGTGAGAAACGACTGTTATTATTACTGATTACTACGTCGGGCACACTCCCATTCTCGGCTGTAGGTTCCGACAGGTCCTTGATTTAAAGGTGGTACAGGGTACCAGCTTCTCCAGACTCCAGGCCTGGGAATCGTAGAAGTAACTGGCTAGCAAGTCTCTGTTACTAAGAGATGAAAAATGTAGACTTCAGGCACTGGGCCTAAAGGGCTCAAAAACCACTGCGCCCCCCAGTCACCTTGTCCTCACCTTGAGGAACAGAAAGACACTCTAGAGGAGAGTGGTCCTCAGAAAGGAAAAAGAGGTGCCCCTACTCTTCTCCGGGCCGTAGCTGCTCAGACACAAGCTTGTCGTGGGGCGGAGACACGGCCAGGAAAGCTGAGTGCCAGGGACGCCTTGACCTAGGGCAACGGAGGAGCGGGCAAGGGTTCTGGGACCGCAACTCGCACTTGCACAGGAAAAGCCCGCCAGATGTCGGGCCCGCCTGGTTTTGCCTCGCCCAGCGCCTCAGGCACCGGAGAAGGCACCCCGCCCCCGTAATCCAGAAGGCCCTGAGCTTGCTCACCTGCAGCCGGGTCACCAGAAGACTGTAGGGCGCCATTTTGTGCACTGACAAAAATGAGGTCGCGTGAAAGTGACGTTGCACGCGACGCCTTTAAAGCCTCTGGGAAGGGCGTGGCTTGAAGAGCGAGGCGTGGAGGCGAAGGCGGGGCCTACCTAGAGGCGCCGGAGCCCTCCCGAATGCAGTGGGCGGAGCTCTTGAGAAAGGAACTAAATCGTGAGAGGAAAAAGAGCGGCATACAAAAGTTTGTAGAAGCACGCTCAAGGCCCAGAGTTCAACACCCAGCACGAAAAATATTCGAAGAATATTTAGGGTTAGGGTAGACAAAAATGTTTTGTCTACGAGTAAGTTTTGGTTATCTATTCCCTCCAAATCTGGGAAAGTACCTTTTCAAAACCTTCATGCACCTGCCAGGACCTGGCTGTCCAGCCGTGAGGGAAATTCGCGCGAGAGATAGCGGGATTTGGTACAAAGATTGTGAAAGCTGATGGAAGCCTTAAGAACCAATCACGGTGACATGGAGGCAGGAACCATAGGGGTTAAAGGTCGGAAGGAAGTCACCGAAACTTCCGGCAGCCCTCTTGGGTAGGAGTTATGGCTAAACATCATCCGGATTTGATCTTTTGCCGCAAGCAGGCTGGTGTTGGTGAGATGGCGCCCTGACCCGGGCTGTCTGGGTTGAGGTGGTGTTAGGAGCTGTGGACTAGGGGTTTCCATAGCCTCTTAGGTCTTCCCTTGAGGCCGCCACGTTTCCCGCCTCAGGGTCGCTGGGTATTGTGAGAGCGCGCGCATATGTGACCTCTGACGCTAGGACAAGGGTGCGTGTTGGCCAGGCCAGAGAAAGATTGCCTGAGAACTGGGAGGAGCTTCAGGAGCGTGCTCCAGGCAATGGGTTTGGTTCAGGTAGAATCTAAGGTTGAGATGCCTGACCCACCGGGCTCCCTTCCTTCTTTGCCTCTGTCCCTACCTTCAGCTCAAAAATGTACTTCCCCGCTTCCTCAAAACCTTAACTCTAATTGTACTGTTTCCCTTCTTTGGTTTTTGCAGCCATCGGAAGACTGTGTGAAAAATGTGAGTGGAACACACCCTCCCAACACCTCAGCCCTTCATTTCAGTTTTTGTGAACCCAGCAAAGGGGCATTTCCAGAGCAGATGTGCCTGGAAGTACGTGAATGCGGAATGCCAGCATACAAAGCCGCCTCCTCACTCCAGCTTGTGCACTTGAAACATTTAGGTTTTGAGAAAATGTTGAGCTTTGGACATGGCAAATTGCCAGAGTAGCATGAACCTTTCCAGCATGAGCGTACAAGCGCGCGTGTGCACACACACACACATACACACACATTTTGCCAGCAATTACATAGATTTGTAACTTCCCAGGTGCTGTTCTGAGTTCTTTACATATACTAATTTATTAACTTTTTTTTTCCTTTACGGTACTGGGAATTCAACCCAGGGCCTTTACACTGAGCCACATCCCCTGCCCTTTATAAAATTTTTTTGAGATAGGGTCTTGCCTAGGCTGGGCTGGAACTTGTGATCCTCTGCCTTAGCCTCCCAGAATGCTGGGACTACAGGCGTGCACCACCAAGCCTGGCTCATTAATGTATTGAGCGGATTGAGATGGACGCTAAATAAGAAGTTTTGTGATGCCAAAGTAAAAGAGGGCCCCAAAGTCACTGTCAAAGGGTGACTGGTATATTTTCTCATAGCAGCAGAGGCCAAAGGACTTGAGGAAGCTCTTGCTAGTGAACATGACTCCCTTCTCTTTCCCTTACAGGTGATGGCAAGTGTGTAATCTGTGACTCCTATGTGCGTCCCTGCACCCTGGTGCGAATATGTGATGAGTGTAATTATGGCTCTTACCAGGGGCGCTGTGTGATCTGTGGAGGCCCGGGAGTCTCTGATGCCTATTATTGTAAGGAGTGCACCATCCAGGAGAAGGACGTGAGTGTATACAGAGCTTTCATCTGACCTTTCTTCCTCTTATTTTGTCATAAACTTTGCTATCCACAGCAGTGTCCTCTGGTCTGTGGAGATGACTGTGTTCAGCAGCTAGTTACCTAGGTTATAATTTCTTCAAGTTCTATGAGCCAAACTGGGTGTTGTCCAATAAAGGGCAGTTATTTTGCATCAAGGGCAAAAAATGCAACAGAAGCAAGTCTTTGTCAACACCAGCAATTTGGAAAGCCCTCTCTCTATGCCTTTGATGTTTCTTTGTGATTATTTTTATTCAGAAACAACACTCTGCATTTGTAAGTTCTAACACAGTGCATAGTGTATAATAGCCATTCAGTGGTTCTCTTAAGTCTACTACTATTTTTCTTTTTCTTTTTTTCCTGGTACTGGGAATCGAACTCAGGACCTTGCGTCTGGCTTCGGTGCCACTGAGCTAAATCCCCGGCCCTTGAATCTACTATTATTAAGGATAGTTGGGATGGGTGTGGTGGCAAAATTGAATTTGGGATAATTCAAGTTCATTTTAGCTTTAAGCAGTGAAGAAGGTTTTTATTTGATATTGCAGGATTGCTAGTGGGTCTTCCTTATGTTTTTGCTCTTTCATTATGTAGTGGCTTTGCCTTTTTTTTTTTTCCCCCCTTGGTACTGGGGATTGAACCCAGGGCCTTCTCACTGAGCTACATCTCCAGCCCATTTTCTGTTTTTTATTTTGAGATGGTTTTATTGAGTTATCCATGCTAGGCTGGAACCTTTGATCCTCCTGCCTCAACCTCCAAGAGTGCTGGGATTATAGGCATGCACCACTATACCTGGCTTGTCTAGTTACTCAGTTCCTGAACCAAAGGCCAGGAGAGGGGCTTCTAGATCAGTGCCAAAGGCACATTTTACCCTTGTTCTTTAAATTAATACAGCAACAGTGTTGGGGGAGCTGGAGGAGAGGACCATGAATCAGCTAGTTTTCATCTTATGACCAAAGGAAGTCTGCTGTAGTCTCACTCCCTCTAGGCAAATAGAGAGTACATGGTTGGTTACCTAATCTAGGATAAGGCAAAAAAAATACATACATAGTACTTCATATTCCCATTAGCAAGGAGTAGGTCATTTGTACATGTTATCTCCCTTATTCCTCATAATAACTTTGATAAATAGGGATTATTATTATTATCTATCTCATTTTTATAGTTCTTTCCTGACCAGTAAGTGGCAAAGCCAGCCTGATTCAACCTGTGTCTCCATTACACCATACTGTCCTCCCTTTCATAAGTTCTTTTGAGTGTGTGCCAATGGTAAGCAAAAACAACCCAGTCCCCTCAGCAGTCTATGTGGAGATAATGGACCAGACAAGACTTTCTTACACCATTGAATCTGTTTAGGAAAATGAGAAAAATCATAGATTAAGTAGCAAAAACATAATTTCAATTGGTGATTTGAACATCCTGCTTTTCTAAGCTCTGATTTCCATTTACCTTGACTGTCAGATCATATCCTGTGTTCTACAAGTGTGGATCTGGCCCATGAGCTAGGTTATACTCCTTCAGAGGAGGGACTTTGGTTCTCGTATTTGTCTTTCCTTTTCCCAGGTCTTGGTACAGTGCCTGACTTCTAGGGCAAGCATTGTACACATTTTTGGTGCTGCCCCTTTGAATTATCTATGAGAGTAGGAGTCCCCTTTAGAGTCATTGATACAGAGTAGGTGTTGTAATTACAATTTCTAGTCTATAAGCAGTGAAGAGAAGGAATGAACAAATCTTAAATTAGCTAGAGTCCATTTAAGGACAACACTTTCTTGAACTTTTGCACGGTTAAATATCTAGAGTTTTTATCTGGCATAAGCTTGCAATCAGGGAATGCTTAATAAATGTTAATTGCCATCTGACTTGTCTGCATGTGGTGTGTGACCTGATAGCTTTGGATCCTCATGCTTCATATCTGCCCCTGAGAATTATTCTAGATGTCACTTCCCCGACTTTACATTATACAGGAATGTTCTGAAGATATTTGAGATGACATCTAACTCACATTTACCCAGCACTAGTTTCCAAGGAACACAAAGCTGTACAGTGACATGATCTAGCCTCTCATCCTTACAGATCATGTAGATTAAATGCTCAAGGCATTTTCCTATGCAGAAATCTTCCTACAACAAAAGCCACCCCCATTATTGTTCTCCCTGCAACTTGCATAATTTATAAGGGAATTGGGCCAGTAAGCTAAGCTAGGTGTCCTCATTTATAGTTTTTCAAAACCACAGGAATGATCAGGAGTCGGGAGAGTTGCTATGAATGGCGGTATCAATGGACTAAGTTGTTTCTTATGGTGCAGCATCATGCTAATAGCCTTAACCCTTAATTCCTTTATTCCTTCAACTTGGCATTTTCCTCATCTCTCCTAACCAGAGTAAGAAAAAATAGCTGTTTAACTTTTTTTTTTTTTTTTTTGCAGGGGTTTGTTTTTTGTATTGGAGATCAAACCCAGGGCCCTCACAGTGAGCTACATCCCCAGGTGGAATAGAACTTGTGATTCTCCTGCCTCACCCTTCCAGAGTGCTGGATTACTAGCATTTACCACCATTCCTTGCTATTTTTTTATGGTTGTTGTGTTAGGGATTGAACCCAGAATCTTTGCACTGAGCTGTATCTTTAACCTCTTTATCTTTTGTTTATTCATTTATTTATTTGTTTTTTGAGAAAGGTTTCACTAAGTTGCCCAGGCTGGGCTGGAACTTGTGATCCTCTTGCTTTGGCCTTACAGGATTGGGTCAGCACACTGGTTTGGAGGGGCAGGCCTTGGGTTGTAGTTCAGTGGTAGAGTGCATACATAGCATGCATGAGGCCCCAGGTTTAATGCCCGGTACCCAAAAATAAACAAATTTTAGCCCTGCCAAGAGGAATTAAATACAAGAAATAAGATTTTGTTGGGCAGGAATGAGCTTTAGATGGTAAATCATTGTAATATTGAAGAGATTTCCACCACCACCACCACCACCACTCCCGGGGTGGTATTGATCATCCTGTTAGGATTCATGGTCTAACTTCTCTGTTTTAACCATTTCACTATGACTTTCTCAGCTGGGTATGGGTGTGTCCATTCTTTTTTTTTCTTACTATTTCTGCCATCTTGCTCCATTTAAGTAAACAGCAGAGTACTTAGATGAAAAGAACTTGAAAATTTTCAAAGTTAATTCACAAATTTACTGTCCTCTACAACTTCCTAAACCATAGTAAAGTTGTGTATTTTGCCTCTGGGAAGTGCTATTAGAAAAACACCACACTAGGAGGCAGAAAACCCAGGTTCAAGTCTTAACTTTGCTCCTCACAGGCTGTATGGTCTTGTGGAAATTTCTACAGAAACAAGTAGTAGTCCATGTTGCCCCATGGGTGCATTTATGAAGAGCTAGGTACAGGAAAGTCTTCCAAAATAAAGTTTCAGACAGAAGATGTGCTAGTTTTGTGATGATCCCTTGCTGGTGTGCAGTCTGCTCTTTACCTCATTGGTAGTCATTAAACAGTTGCCAAGGGGATAAACAGCTTTTCACCTTCTGTGTTAACAAAGCAGGTCTGGCCTCTGGCACCTGTTCATAATTTGTTACCAGTGATGCTGACTCATTTTCAGTAACTGTGTTTTTGTAATCTCACATTTTGTTAAGTTGCCTTTTCCCGCACTTCAGTTCTGTACTTACTTCTCTTTAGTGCATGATTTGTATTGGTTTTAAAGTACTGCTTAAAAGTCTGGCATTTGTATTAGTGGTCCAGGGTAATTTTTGTAACTTCTTTGCCTGCCAGAGAATGGAGTTGATTGAAGCAGCCCTTTTCAGAAGGGAAACCCAGAGACACTGAGGACTCCTTGTCTGTCGCTACAGAGGCCCACCTGAGGGTTTTCCTAGAGTGTTTTAGAAGCATGTTGTGATGAAAACAAGCACCTGACACCTTGCTACTTTAGAGGGACTCAAAAGTCTTTTGAGGGGCTGGGGAAAGAAGTTGAGTGATAGAACACCTGCCTACCCTAGTATCCTTGGGACCCCAAGTTCCACCCCTGCACCGAAAAAAAAAATTCATGCCGGGCATGGTGGCACATGCCTATAATCCCAGCACTCCAGAAACAGGCCAGCCTGAACTACGTGGCGAGACTCTGTCTCAAGAAACCAAAAAAAAGAAAAATCTTTCCTAAATGAATAGAAACCTCCACTTGATAGTCTGAAAGTTTTTTGTTTGGAGATTTTGATTTTAATTTTTGCAGTGCTCTATCACTGAACTACATCCCTAGGCCTTTTTATTTTTTATATTAAGATAGACTTGCTAAGTTACTAAGTTGCCCAGGCTGGGCTCTGTCTTGCAGTCCTCCTGACTTAGTCTCCCAAAGTGCTGAGATTACAGGTGTGAGCCACCACAACGGGCTTCCAACATGGTGTTGTTTTGGCAATACTGGGTATTGAACCCAGGAAGTGCTAAACTCATCTTAGTCCCCCCACACACTACCGTGTGTGTGTGTGTGTGTGTGTGTGTACACCTGGGGATTGAACCCAGGGTCTTTGCACTGAGCTACATCCCCAGTCTTTTGGGAAAAGGTCTTGCTAAGTTCCCCAGGCTAGAACAGAACTTGACAGTCCTCCTGCCTCGGCCTCCCAGAGTACTGGGATTGCAAGCATGTACCACCATACCTGGCTCTTTTTAATTTTTTTTTTTTTGGTACAGGGGCTCGAACTCGGGTCCTTGCGCTTGCGCAGCAGGCGGCGAAACCGCTGGGCTAAATCCCCAGCCCTCTTTAATTTTTACTTTGAAACAGAGTCTCAGTAAGTTGCCCAGGCTGGCTTTCAGCTTGTGATCCTCCTACCTCAAGTAGCTGGAGTTACAGTCATGTGCCACCTCACTTGGCTCTCCAACATTTCTTCTACATCCCCAGCCCTCCCCAGCATTTCTTAACAGTCCTCCCAACTTGGGGACAATCAGGAAACTCCTGTAAAACATGTAGAAAAGAACAAATGGGAATTTAGGCAAAGCAATAGGAAAGCTGTGAGTGAGAGGAAACGGTAAAGCCCAAGAGGCCAGGAAGAGCTGGAGTAATGCCTTAGTTCCAGCTGCTTGCTTATTTTTGCAGTGCAGGGCCTACCTATGGAAACGGCTGATGTTTGTTTTAGGTAGTTTCTTATAACCGGAAAGGCTGGCTATATTCCAGAGGCTGTTCCTAAATGTCTGTGGAACCATTTCATCTTTTTAATTTTCTCAGGTAGGTTCTCCCATTTTAGTCATTTTATATGTCACTAACTGAGACTGTGAGAGGTTAACTTACCAAGGTCAGGTCCTTCCCTGAGTGAGGACAGAGCTATGCAGGTCCCTAGCCACCTGGTGCCTCCCAGCAACCTCTGGGGCTCTGTAAATGCCATCTGTAAACCCCAATCTGCCATAGGCCCTTGTCACAATGAGGAGTACAAGAAGGAGAGGTAATGAGTCAGTAAGGACAGTTGAGGGAATTTGTCATCCAGCATCTCCGAAGCTGTGTTTAATATCATGGCTGCTTAGGCTAGGGAGAAGCAGTCCTTTTGTTTTCTAGAAAATCAGATGATGTTAGTATGTGTGCTTTTTTTTAAAATTAATTTTATTGGTACATGTAGATATACATAATGATCACATTCATCATAGGGAATTTGTAACTACATAATACATCTTAATTTTTTCCCATTCCCCCCTTCAATCCCTCTTCCTCTCCTTATTTACAAAAGCTGTTTCCACTTTTTCTATTCGTTCTTTTCTTGTCCCTTCTTTCCCTTCCCCCTCACCCCTCCCTTGTTTCCCTTATCTGAATATTTTCCTCCCATTTCTCAATATCTATTATACATTTTTTTTATTTTTTGGTACGAGGGATCAAACTCGGGACCTTGCGCTTGTGAGGCAGGCGGCGGAATCACTGAGCTAAATCCCTGGCCCTGTTATACATTTTAGAGAGGGCCAATCAGTCCTATAAGTCTCTTAATTAGAAGTGGAGTTCATATCCTCTTCATCTTCACTGTCACTACCAGAATTTAGACCATTATCTTCTCTCATCTGATCTTCCAGCCTAACTCCTCTAGTGTTTGTTCTTGTACAAAAATTTTTATACAGTGATGATATCAGCCCCCCAAAAATTCAGATGAAGGGAAGCGGGCCTGCACAGACTTTTTCCAGCTACAACTTCCCTGGCTTTCTTCCCATCTCCCCAGATCGGCAGGTGGAGTCAGCAGTCCCACAGCACAGGCTTCCCAGGGGTTTCATGAAACCACTCAAGCTCACAGAGTATAGGGGCAGCATGTCATTTTCAGTCAGAGAGCAGCCGTCAGCAGCCAGGGCTAGTACAGGAGCACTGTCCCCCCCAGACTGTTGAATGCAGTGAATTAATAAGGGCACATCATACCCAGGATTTACAGTACTGAAAATGCAAAGTACTATTTCCTGACATCTTCAGGTTTTCCCCTTTTGTGTTAGTCTCTCCTTGGGACAGTATAGGAAGATTGGAGAGTCTGGTTTGCAGATGGCGGTGACCATTTCTTAACCACTCCAAGAAAATCCTTGGGCATAAGAGTTCCAGACTCAGTTCATTTGGGCACAGTGGCACTTGTCTGTAACGCCAGTGTTCCAGAGGCTGAGGCAGGAGGACTGATGCATGTTCAAGGCCAGCCTGGGCTACAGAGCAAGCATTTCAGATTCTACCTCACCTGTGTGTGTCTGCAATAAAAGTGCTGAGAATCCACCATTCTAAATGTAATTGCATTCACTGGATAGAGAGCAGCCAGACCCTGGGGACACTGTTTTGTTTGTCACATCTATTATTAATGCATATTGGTTATACAGGTTAATGGGTTTCATTTTGGCAGATCTGTACATGCATGTAACCTACCTTGATTATTTCAGATGTTTGATAAATCCTTGATGACGAATCAAGAAGGATAACTGGAAAGATAACTAAACCATTAGACTGATAGTTATAAAATGGTCATTGAAAACTCTGAGAGAGAGGGATGGAGCAGTGCCGACTGATAGCCTCTTGGTTAAGGAGCTAGGGATGTTTGGACATGTGTGCAAACACATTGGTATCTTTTTTTCTTTGTGGGCAGTGGTCCTGTGGATAAATCCCAGGGCCTAATACATAGTAGGAAAGAGCTATACCCCCAGCCTTCTTTGTTGGTTTTTGTTTCGTTTTGTTTTTTGCATTATTGGGGATCAAACTCAGGACTTTGTGGTTTGGGGGGTTTTTTTAGGACTTTGCTTTTGAGGCAGGTGCAGTGCCACTGAGCTAAATCCCCAGCCCACCCCAATCTTCATTGAATCCTAGGGTGAAGAGTTTAGCTTCCTCCTGGACTAAATTTTCTCTTCAGTCCCTCTGGATTCAGGCTCGAAAACTTACCAGTTCCTTTATTCTGTTTTCCAGAGAGATGGGTGCCCAAAGATTGTCAACTTGGGGAGCTCCAAGACAGACCTCTTCTATGAACGCAAAAAGTATGGCTTCAAGAAGAGGTGATTGGCAGGTGGCCCCTGCCTCCCCCATCAAGCTGCTGCAGCTGCCAGAAAAGACACCCACAACCACGGGCCCAGCGCCTCACCGTACCCACCTGCTAGCGTGCTGCAGGCTCACCGCCTTTCCCTCCCCTCCCCACAGTGTGGGCTGGGGTGGGCTTGGAAGAGGATTCTTCACCCAGGAAAGACTGATAGATTAGTTCATGGTTTTTTTTAACTCTTGAGAAGCAAGCCTGTGTTCTCCACATTGATGTGTTCTCTACTCCACGAGCTGCTTAGCAGGAGTCCCTTTCTTGTGACAGGGTGCCTACTGTGAAGCTGCTCCCCCCCCCCCAGAGCTCAGCATGTCCCTCAGCAGCTCCAGTGGCAGTTGTCCTCGACAACCCTTTGGGGTGTGGCAGGGAGCGATCAGAACAGTAAATGTGATGCAAGCATTTAATCCTGTAACACCAGGTGGTGTGGGTTTCAGGTTATTTTTCTTCTGAGACATTGGAAACCCTTTCTGTTGCTATCGTATTAATAAAGTTGGTGTTTATTTTCTGGTAGTCACTTTCCCCATGTAACTTAACAGTAAGAATTTATTTTAGTCATCCAAAAATTGTTGACTCAAAATAGAGGTAGTGGGATTCATGAAGTACCCTGCCCAAGAAATACCACTGAATGGAATTCAGAACAATCTGTGATGTTAATGGTAGGTAAAAAAGTCATTTTTAGAAATTTTCCCTTCCTATCCAGTTTGAATTTTGAACTGAAGAGATGGCTGACAATCCTGGAGAGACAGAATTAAATTGATGAGTTAGGCGCACTCAGACTCCTTTCATAATGTGCATATGTACTCACTATGAATGTGTTCGCTTCATGGGAAAACAAGTCTCTACCCCAACTGGATGAGTCTGGGTTTGTCCAGGGTTTTGTTTTGGGTCAGCAAAACTGTTGATTATGTACCAAGTGTCCACAATTAAGCTGGAGGATAAGGGGCTTGACTTCCTGTTCAACCCAGAGAAGTACAAGGAGGGGTGCTTGGCCAAGCTTGGGGGTAACTGAAGGCAGGGGAGAGCCACAGCCATGGGCTGCTGTGGCACCCCCTGCCCCCCACCACCAGGGCTCCTTTTCCCTTGCTCAACTGCTGTTTTCTGTTCTGCCTGTTATTTTTTAATCTGCTGATCCCTCTTTAATGGTCCCCCTCCTGCTGCCGTGCTCTGCTAACTCCTACTCATCCTTCAGACCTGCGCCAGATATGTCCTCAGATTTCTCCCCCAGCCTGCAATCTAATGTCCCCCTGTACTCCCACATAGCGCCCTGTGTATCCCTGTGAAGCACTGCAACAACAATAAAAGCATTGGGTTTGGCCCAGCGAGTTACAGGTGCTCAGTGCTCAGTGTTGAAGAAAGGGAGTCAAGGAAACCAGGTAATAAATAACCTGAGCCAGGTTAAGGACCAACAGGCAAACTGGGCAGCAAGGGCACTGTGTGTGGGGAGGGCCTCAGCAAAGGAGGTGTCGAACTGTGAGGTGCTTGAGGATTTCAGCAGTTGTAAACCATCAAGTGCCCAGGCATGAAGGTGCATATCTATAATTCCATTGCTCAGGAGGCTGAGGCAGGATCACACAAGTTTGAGGCCAGCCTAGGCTACATAATGAGACTCTGTCACACAAAGAAGTATATACCAGGGCAGGAGATTTAGCTCAGTGGTTTTGCTGCCTGCTGCACAAGTGCAAGGACCCGAGTTTGATCCCCAGTACCAAAAAATATAAAAATAAAAATGAGATAAAAGGTATTGAACTTCAGTACTTTATTTGCTACCTTGGAATTAGTAGAATAATTCCTTTTCAATTAAAAATCAGAATAGAGCAGGGTGTGGCAGCACATGCCTGTAATCTCGGCTACTTAGGAAGTTGAGGCAGGAGCATTGCAAATTCAAGGCCAGCATGGTAATTTAGTGAAACCCTGATCAAATTATAAGTGGGGTGAAAGGGGCAGGGATGCAGTTCAGTGGTAGAGCACTTGTCTACCATTGGAGAGGCCCTGGGTTCAATCACCAGTACCACCACAAAATAATAAGGCTTAAAAATGTACTGACTTCTCACACAAGTTGAATTTTATCCAGGTTATCCAATTGTGTGAAGAGGATTAGAATAATGATCTCACTCAACTGGGTATGGCCACAGAAACGTCAGCCAGTCTTGACAATTACTGGTGTTCATCTTCATTGTTGAAATAATCACTACCTACATAGGTCTAGTCAAAATAATTGAACTAAATGCTCATGGTCAGCCCTTCCCTCTCTTGGATGTATGATTATAATTATGATTATTTCTGCTATTAGTCACTTATTAAGTACTCAGTCTTGGATTCAGTTCTGGGTTGGTTCTAACAAGGATGCCTGGCTACTCCCAGCTTGTCACTCGTAAACTCTGCACACACATACACGTCAATTCAGTTTCCCTTGCATGTTGTCCCCATTTTATGGTCTTGATCTTTTGCATGGCAATCCTCTTGCCTCAGCTTCCTAAGTAGCTGGGATGACAAGTGTGTGTCACCACGGCTGGCAACACTGCCCTTTTTACATGTGCTCTGGCTGCAACAACAGTTGTTAATGAGAAATGTGTGGGCTTTGTAATCAGATTTGTATTTAAATTCTGCTCTGCTATTGGCCTTCAGCAAGTCATTCAGCCTGTGTTTCTGGATAATGCCCTACCTCTTCAGGTGGTGAGAGTTCAATCTAAGTGCCCAACCCTTACTGAGAAGATCTACTATTAAAGTGGCAAGGTTTAGGGGGCGTTTTTTTGGTTTGTTTTTTTTTTTGGTAGTACTAGACATTTAACCTAGGGCACGCTACTCAGGTGCTCTCATGCTGAGTTACACCCCTAACACCCCTTTTTAAAATTTTGAGTCTGAGCCTCCCTAAATTGCCCAGGCTGCCTTAAATTTATGACCCTCCTGCCTCAGCCTCCCAAGTAGTTGGGACCATAGGCATGTGCCCCTCTGATCAGCTAAAAGTGGTAGTTCTTTTACCCTACTTCATAGATAAATTTAATTCCTGGCCCTGAAGAGCCTAAATGGTTCACTGTCTTCCTACTCCCAAGGTTTTCTTTGCCCACTTCTCTGTGGTCCTTCCTCAGGCACTGAAAGGCTATTCCTTCAGTACTCCCAGTCTCCTTAGCTATTTTCTTTGCAGTTTGCTTCTACCTTCCCATCACTAGCCAACTCAGCACCCCTTCATTCCAGCCTGGCCCACGCCTCACGAACGCTTCCAGATGCACTGCACCCCATAACCCTCACATTGCTTTCATGTCTAGTATATATAGAACAGATACATTTTATGAAAGAGTAGTTACTGTGCATATTGCACTCTGATACATTTTATGCCATTTTATTCTAAAATTTCTGGCTGAAATCTATTAAATCAGACTATTTTACAACCTCAGTAATGTATGATGACTCCAAATTTAGAAATAATTAGCTGCTGGGTGTATGCCTCTACTTAGCTACTCAAGAGGGTCAGGCAGGAGGTTCACTTAAGCCCAAGAGTTCAAGGCCAGCCTGAGGACCATAATGAGACCTCATCTAAAAAGTAAGTAAAAAATAATAAAAAATAAAAACAACTAGGTCATATGAGCCTTGATATCTAGAGCTGAGAATGAAGCTCACTGGTAGAGACCTTGCCTAGCACCCACAAAGCCCTGCATTCAATCCCCAGCATCACACACAAAAGTAAGATCATCCCTGGGCATGGTGGTGCATGCCTGTGATCCCAACATTCAAGAGGCTGAGGCAAGAGGATCACCATGAGTTGAGGCCAGTCTGGGCTACATAGTGAGTTCAAGGTCAGCCTGAACTACATAGACTATCTCAAAAAAAAAAAATCTTTTGCTTCTCCTTCCACAAGAGGGAACTGGACAGGCAACCCCTGAAAAAATTGCTTGATACACTGAATTGAAAAAGGTTCACACACCCAGCAGTCTGTGGAAGTAATAACTGATTGAAAAGGGAGGGGTATAAGTGTCATTTACAGGGTGCCAACTCTCAGCCTCAAGGTCTGGGAGGCAATGGGGAGTGGTGGAGACATTGGGCAACCAGAGAACATGGGCCATGTCCAAAGGAGACAGCTGCTACTCAACACCAGATGACTGCTGCCAGCTTGAATGCCCAGTCTTGCCAGATCCTCTCAATTTAAGACAAGAGGCAACCTAAAATGCTTTTGTGCAACATCCCAATTTTTTTTTTTTTTTTTGAGAGAGGGTCTCACTATACCTATAGTCCAGGCTGGCACTGAACTTGCTATGTAGCTCAGGCTGGCCTGGAACTCATGGTCTTCCTGCCTCAGCCTCCTGAGTGCTGGGATTACAAGTATGTACCACCACGTCCCCGACAGTCTCACGACTTTTAAGTGTTGGCAACTCACTTTTAAAAATTTTAAATATATGGGCCAGGGATTTAGCTCAGTGGCACCATACCTGCCTCTGCAATCGCAATGTCCTGAGTTTGATCCCTGGTACCAAAATAAATTAAAATAAAATATAGCTGGGGATAGTGTCACATGCCTGTAATCCCAGCACTTGGGAGACAAAGGCAGGAGAATCTCCACAAGTTCAAGGCCAGCCTGAACTACAAATCGAGACCTTGTCTCAAAAAAAAATTATAGAGGCAGGAATTTAGCTCAGTGGTTTCGCTGCCTGCTGCACAAGCACAAGGACCCAAGTTCAACCTCCCGTACCAAAAAAAAAATTATATATATACCAGGGCCGGGTGTGGTGTCCCACATCTGTAATCCCAGCACTCTGGGAGGCTGAGGCAGGAGAATGGCAAGTTTGAGCCCACCCTGGGCAACTTAGAAAGGCCTCGTCTCACAATTTAAAAAAATAAAGAGCTAAGAACGTAGTTTAGTGTAAAAGCCCTGGGTTCAATCCCCAGTACCAATAAAGAAAAATTCAAGTTGAGAAAATATTTTCTTGCTTAACTTCTAAAAAACTACAAAATCCTCACTCTGACTTTTGCATATGAGAAAGTGACTCACCTTGAGAATTAATTGGAGCCAATAGTGACCAGCCTTACTTACCAGCCTTACCAAAACAACTGGCAGAACTCGCTTTGCTCTGAGGAGCGTCGCCCCACCCTCCCGCTCCGCACTTGAGCCCGTAGCTCACCTTTTTGAAAGCGCCGTAAGTAACCTTCAGCGTATGAAACGAGAGGGGACCCGTGGATCCTGGAGTAGGAATTTAGCTCACAGTTAAGCCCTGGCAAGATGAAATCACACGTTAGGGACTGAAAAAACTCCCTCCTCGCCACATGATAAAAGAGGAGAGACATCAGTAATGAAGAAGGGTGATTAGTTTTTTCCCTCTTCTATTTTAGCGTTTCCTATTTATACGTTAACCCTTTGCCCAGTGCTCCTGTTGGCCAAGGAGGCTGGATTGCTGCTTTGTTTTAGTAATGTTGCTCAGGACTGGTGTATTTCCAGCACCGCAGGAGAGATTCAAATAAAAGCACCGATACCAGAAACTCAACGCCTTCCACCTAGGGATTCCATCAGCCCTCGCTCGGCTTATATGTACTCTATTCCGCCCCGCAGAGATACCCAAGGACGGCTCACTCTAACGCACCCTCACCTTTCTCACCGTTCTGTCCCAGAAGGCTTGCCATTGCGAATGCATACCAGCTGGGCCGAGCATATGCAAGATACGTGGGATGCGATTTGGCGAAGACGGTTATGTTGAAGTTAATAATAGAAACTATTTCAGCCAGACTTTTATATACAGTACTTTTTTTCCCCTCTGTACCAAGGATCAAACTCAGGACCTTGCAGTTGCCAGACATGCGCGGTGCCAAAGAGTACATCCCCAGCCCCTATATACAGCACATTTAATCCCCACACGATCTCTATTCTTGCTGAGGAGGTAACTGAGGTTTGGAAACGTTGCATTAAATTAAGATCACACAGTAGGAGACAGAACAAGGATGTAAACCCACCTATTCCACGGCTGCCTCTAATGAACAACTACAAATACCAGCATCCCTTGCTATGCCCCATTGCGCAAACGCACACTCCCCAAGGCCCAGACCTAGCGGCAGAACCCGAGACCCAATAGCGCTGTGGTGCCTCGCTCTCCAACCAATAGGAAGGCTGTTGCTAAGACTCAAACTATATTTTTAGCTACCGACGTTCTGGGACCCGGCGGTGGGTTGGGTCTTACTGCCAGGCTGGAATACGCTCGGAGGGGAGGAGAGGTGGAGGGGGGAGGAGAGGTGGAGGGGGGAGGAGAGGGGAAGATGAAACGAGGAAAGGCGGAGACGGGGCGTGTGTGTGACGCTCTGCTCTGCCCCTCGCTGACGCACGAAGCAAGTAGTCCTTGTAGGAGACCTGGGACCAAGCGCTCTGCGCGTGGGGGATGGGTGCTCTCTTTCGGGCCCAGACTCCCTCCCGCCTCCTTGTCTGTAGTTTGCCCTCCAGCCTGGCAATTCTCTGCTGCTGTCAAAGAGAGCGTGTTTATATCCCCACGCTACCGCTGCTCTCTGCCCTTGACAAAAAAGTGATCAAGGAAAATAAAATGCAAAATCCTCATAACTGGAAACTTTCCGATCTCACTACCCCACGTGGGTTGGGAGGCGACCGCCGGGCCGGAACCATCTGGGAAGAGAAAGGAGGCTGGGGGAAAGGATTGAGGAAGGGGCGCTCTAAGGAGGGAAACGACTTCCGGCGCAAGTCCCCTCTCGGCCCCAGGACTAGCAGTCTGGCTCTACATCCTTCTGTGACCTCATCGGACACAGCTCTCCTACCTCCAATCCTATGCCTCACACTGTCACAAAAAGGCAGAGTGACCTGCATGGCCAAACCCCGGCTAGAGGACCTGGAGCGCCCGGTCTCGGGTTTGGCGAACCTTGCGTCACCGCCCAGGGGACCGTGGGGTGTGCAAGGCCGGCGCCCGCCCCTCCTCCCTCCGTCGCTGGCTATTACTAGAAGAAATGTGGCTTGTCTTCTCCTACCCCTTACGGGTGTCGCCAGACGGAGAAAGCAAACGTGGGCCTCCGCAGAGGGACCGCGCTCTCGTGGAGCTAGTGCCCTGCCTGCCCTCTCCCGGCGGGGAACTAGGAGCCGGAGGCGGCAAGTGGAAGGTTAATCGTGGTGCTCAGCTCTTCTTCCTCCCGCACTGCTCACCCCGACCCCATATCCCCCCTCGCCGCGTTCCCTGGCGGGGAATCACCCCTTCCCCGACGAGGCGCGCGGCTCTCGGACTCAGGCAAACCCGAGTTTAGGTCCGAAATGTTTCCAGAGGTCGCGTCGTATCTCACTCCCCTGACCCAAGAGGAGACCCTAACGGGTGGTGCGATTGCCGCGGAGACAATCAGACGCCCAGAGTCGGAAGGACGCCCGCGCCAACGTGGCCTAGGCGAGGGACCAGTGCTGTCAGCGCCCAGGCAGGTGTAGGGCTCAAGTGTCGGCGGGGAGAGCTCTCGGGGGAGCGGGGGATGCGGGCCCCTCCCCGCGACAGCCACTCGTCCAGCGCAGCTACCGTGAGTTCCCACCGTGTCCCAGCCCTCGCGGAGCTCGTGTCCACCTGGGGAAGCACCTTGCAACGTGAGCAAGAGTTCAGACAGTGGCTGGGAACCTGAAGACAAGAAATAGGGCGCGGTGGCGCTAGGATGGGGAGGAAAGGCGGACGCCCTTGGAAGGAGATGGCCGCGCGATCAGTTCGGGGGCGCAACCGTGAGCCTGCCAAAGCACCCCGACACCTCGGCCGACCCTTCAACTGCCCCCAATCCCTCCGCCGGGTACCCAGGGGTTAAGGCTCGGCAGAGCGGGAAGTAGTCCCGGCTGTGCTCCCGGCCCCGCCCCGCCAGGGCGGAGGGACGCATTACGCAGGGGTGGGGAAGCCAGATTCGTGCGCGGGGTTGCTAAGGGTGAAACTTTTCATTGACTTTGCTCACTTCGAGCCGGGGCGTGGGGAGGTGCGGGTAGTCAGCGGAGATCAGTTAGTGGCTCGGGCGACGCGGAGGCCAGAAGGGCAGCACCGCTCGCCGACCACGAGCTGTACCATCCTCCGCCCCACGACGTGAGCCACCCCGCGGTCCACAATCCCCGCGCCGTCTCTGCCGGCCAGCCCGACCGCTCTCCGTTCCCCGCTGCCAAGCCCGACCTCCGAAAGAAAAAGCGGAAGAATAATATTGAGAGTCATAACTCATCATCCCCTCCTTGCCCCTCCAGTCTCAACGAAGAAAAGAACACAGCGGGCCCCGGCCTCGCGGCGCCCGGGAAAAAAAGGAAAGCGACATTCGCCCAGCGCTCAGGACCACCGTGGCAGGAGAAGCCGCCCCGCGGCGGAGACTCGAGTGAGTGCGGGGGGGGGGATGCGGGCGGGGGGCCTGCCGACACCCCGGCCCGACCGCCTTTCCCACTCCGCCCCACGCCTGCTCTTGGCTGGGCGGAGGGGGTGGAGTACTCCACGTCGCTGTCGCCCCCTGCTTCGCCTGGCCAGCATTTTCCTCTCCTCATCTACTTTCCCTCTAGACCCCCCTTTCTCTTGTGCTGTTCTCCTTCACTCTGTTCCGGGGTAACCAGAGCTCCTCTCCCAGTTCCAACAGTGGCCCCTCCTGGGTGGGGTGCATTTCTTCCCTTGCCTCCATCTCCAGCTCCTCGTATCCCAAATACTCGCTAGATTTTCCTTGTTTTCCGAAGAAACATAACTCGCACTACCGTTAAATAAATTAGAAGGAGGAAAGGGATCCAAGCCTTGTTTTTTTTGCTTCTTTTCCCGTGTGCGGGCAAGGGAAAGTGGTGATTATTAGTATTTCTGGCCTTATCGAGCCTCAGGTTTGGAGTTGGAGACCGTTTTTGGCGATGGGACCGATTTGTGGAGATTGGCTTTGGGCTGCCGAGCCCGAATTCATTCCAGTTTGAGCTCTTTATCGTCTTCTGTGCTTTAAGGGAAATCTGGGGAGGGGAAAAAAAGTACCCATAGGACCTTGCCAGTGTGGATTTTGCTTGATCTCAGTGGGGTGCCTACGAGGAAAGGCCCAACTCCTGAACTCCTTTCCCTACCTGTCCAAAGGTTGGGCCGTGCCCTTGATCAGACACCTGCAGAGGGAAAGGAGGGAGCAGACAGAGGGGCAACCTGCAGGCCCTCCCCTTCCCCTGGAGCAACCAGAACCCCACACTTTGTGCTTCAATTTGGGGACCAGCAGACAGGCTCTCAGTTGCCTGTTTATGGTCTAACCTAGCTTTTTTCGCTTTCCCACCCTACTCTGGTAGTGGGTTCTCATCTTTGATTTCCTAGTAGAAAAATAGCCTTCTTGCATTCTTGGGTGCCAGCCCCCATCCTTCTCTTAAGGACTGGGAAAAGCAGCTTGTGTGGGAGGAAGGATTAGGGAGGTTTAACACCCTGCAGGGGAGCTTTGCGGAGGATATGGTAAATCCAGTCGTAGGGTAGGCCTTGCAGTAGGAGGAGACTCACACAGTCAATTTTAAATATTAGAAGATGTTGTTCAGGTTTCTGGTGTACAGTTTTTCCTTCCCTGCCCAGGAACCTTTTCCCATTTCCCTTACCCGCCCCGGTCTGGTTACTCAGACTTGGATTAGAAGTGGGGTGAGGTTTGGGCCCTGCTGGCATTGGGCCTTCTAATTGTCCGCCCGGCGCCTCCCTACAGCTTAAGTGGGAATTTCTGTGGCCAAGAGGACCAAAGAACTGGGTCTAATTCCTGCCTTTCCTTTCCTGGGTGTGGGGGTGCTGGAGCCGAGCCCACTGGGCATTAAGTGAAAAAGGCTCCTTTCTCTATGAACCCACCGTCCTTACAGCAACGCCAGACGGGCGACTATCCAGTACAGCCGGTGAAATTCAGATCGAGAGGCAGGGTTGGCGGCTGGGTGGGGGTCGGTGGCCATATCTATCTCAGCCCATACCCTTCACCTAAAAACAACAAAACTCCTTAGAGGTAGATTCCCTAATTCAGCAGTCTTGGGAGAGTGTGAAGAAAAAGGGCAGAAAGTTGAGCCCCTCGTAAAGCCTAGACACGGACACAGTGGGGCGATGCACTACATCGAGGAGGCCTTGTGGGTAAATTTACCTGAAATGTCTTAGGCGATGGGAGGGGGGCGCTGCCGCCCCAGTGCGCATGTGCATCGGAAACTTTTCCCTGGCCCCAGACCCGGACCCGGTCCCCCTGCTGAGCATGCGCGATCGGCAGGCAGCCTTGCGGGGCTAGCCGGGAAATGTGGTGTGCGCCGAAATAGGTCACGCGCCAGCGCTCTAGGGGCCCACGGACTCGGCTCCCAGGGTGCTGAGCGCACGCCCTCCGCCCTCGAGGTTGAGGCCGAAGCTGGAGCGCTCTGCCCTGGAGAGAACCCTCGGAGTAGCATGACTGGGCAGTGTTTGGGGGACATGGCGGGAGACTGGGCAGGGCACAGACAGCACAAGTCCTAGAAGCCATTCAATCCTCATCTTCCCTTCAACCTGTGTCCACCGGGGACCTCGGAGTGGGACAGGGTGGCGGCCTAAGTTTGGCCCTCTCTGTCCTGGGCCAGCAGGACCACTGAACTGTAACCCTGCCTTGTTACACCACTACTGCCTTGTCCTCTGACCCCTCCCCCCTTTCCTTACACTCCTTTATTTGAATCCGAGTACATTGTTTGAGTACTTCACCATAGGGCGATTTGGATGGTAAGGGTTTGTAGAGCCTGGATATTTGTGTAGCTTTGGGGCCAAACAGATTCCTTCACCATTGACGCTCTCAACTCCCTGCGCCCTCATGCTGGGAATCAAACCCAGAGCCTTGTGAGTGCCAGGCAAGTGCCCTACCACTGAGCTACACCCCCCCAGCCCTTTCCTTTCCCTTTTTAAAACAAAACTTGTCTTTTTTTCTTCTTAAAATCCTTGTTTCGCACTCTCATCAGTAATTCTTTCTAGAATCTGCATTGATGGAGGCCTCCTTCCAGCTTCAAGCGTCCTCTCCTTTGTCTTTCTCCTAAGCATTTAACTCTTTGAAGCCTGGGGTGGTAGCACACACCTGTAAACCCAGCACTGAGGCTGAGGCAAGAGGATCTGCAAGTTCGAGGGCAGCCTGGGCTACAGAGTGAGCTCAAGGTTAGCCTGCACTACAAAGGAAGACTGTCTCAAAAACAAACACACTCTTCGAAATAGAAGTCAGCACAAGGGATGTGAATCCAGGTTAAGTTTGTGGCTGGATGTAAACAAGTGAAGTAGGATAAGATTCTTAAACTGGAAAGCATTTGTATTTGCAATTTTTAATACATTGACAAAAAGGGAGATTTGCCCTCCCCAATGCCCCTTAGCTACCTTTTTCCATCCTTTCGGTTGGAAAAGATCTCAAGAATCCTCCGCAGCTGCTTAATGAATCTACTTATTTCTTTCATTGAAGGATGGTTATCTCTAAGCTTTCTAATCTTACCAGACTTCTGTAAATATTTTATATTTAAGCTCTAGAGTTTGTCCATAGCTTTCTAATAAATGAACAAACTCACCCGAATGGTAGCACCTATCTATAGCTGAAGACCAGACAGCACCAGTGCTTTAATCTTCTGCCCCATAACCTTCTTGAAGTCAAAATTAGAGCCTGAGCTGATAGAGCAGAAAATCTCATTCTGGTCATCCAGCATTTTTGTAAGGTTCCACCCTACAACCATCTGGCCTGGCTTGTTTTCCAGTTAAAGAGGCAAAGATGGCATTATATGCTTCCTTATTTGTGTGGCACCATCTCTGAGGTATAAATTGATGTGCAACCTTAGTTGCTTATGCTGCAGAAAATGGCTCGCCTGGTTGATGACAGTGGTTCTATTGTATTTTGGGGTGGGAGGCTTATTTCCCAATGACTTTGGCCTACATTTAAAATGCTTGCATTTTGAGGCTGAACTGTTCAGGGGATGTTAACTTGAAAGGTAATTATAGAGCAAGGTTTAAGGAGGCCTAGAAAGGTGTAGAAGCCCTTTCGTCTGGGCTGAATACTGAGACCACTCAGTACCTTGGGAGAAGTGTCCTGTGTTGATTTCAAGTCTCTTCTGTTTTTCAAAATGTCATTGAAAACACCGTCTTTAACAACGTGTCCATTTTTGGCACCTGATGCCAACTTCATAACTTTTCAGTCTCCCCTCTGGACACCTCTAGTAGACCAGGGTGGCCCTTTCAAACTTCCCTTCTTAAACTGGGCACAGTGGTGTGCACCAGTCCCACCTGTTGGGAAGGCTGAGGCAGGAGTATCACTTGAGCCCAGGAGTTTGAAGGCTAGCCTGGGCAAGAGAGCAAGACCTTGACTCAAAAAAAAATAACAAGGCCTCTATTCTTAGAGGAGGCCTGCTGTGCTATAAGCTAGCTCTGCATTCAGTGACGGACCCAATCCTCATAAACAGCGCTTTATTCTTTTTACTGTTCTCCTTAAACCTAAAAGGACCTTGGAATTGGTCTGTCCTGATCATGAGTGGACATCTGAAGAGACTTGCAGACCAAGTCTGCATTAGAGACTGCAACAGGAGAAGCCAGGTTTCCCCAATGCTGAGCCTTTGGTGGCTGACTCAGGAAAGGGACATAGGTGCCTCTACTGCCTCTGTAAACTTCTCTGTGTCCTCAGATCTGGAACAAGGCTTGGACCTCATCAAGCCACTGACCTTTGCTGCTGCAGATTGACCCCACACATCTCAGACACATTCAGCCCAGAAATCTATTTTCCTGAAGATTTAAGTCCCCAAAGTGCCTGTAGGAGCCTTCGGCCCGGGCCTGAGAGTTACAGGGAAGTGCATGGGACTGGGTCCCCATCCTAGAGTTAGTACCTGCATCCTTAATTGCTCCTTCATGGAACCAGAGGGATTTGAATCAAAATCCAGCCCTGAGTCTGTCACAGGCCAGCAGCTGCCCTTGCCCGGTCACAGCTCCCTCTTGTTTCCATGCTGAGCTCAGCAGCGCAGCCATGTCCAGAGGCCTGGCTGGGGACGAGTCCTTGCCCTGCCCCCCCAGGCCCTTTCCATCTCAGTGTCTCCCTGAGAATGAGTCCAGGCGCCTCCCTTTTGGAGAACATTTGATTAGGATCCCTGGCTCTGGGGACCTCACAGATCATCTTCCTGAAACCCGAGGCTGGCCCAGGCCAGCAGCCTAAACCTTTTAGCCCTGGGGGGCATCTGGCTGTGAGAATCCCAAAATATCAAGCCGAGTGTTTACCTTGGCTGCCTCCTCTAGGGATCTCCAAACACCTGATAAATATGACCCTGTGTGGAGGACCGGTGGGCAGACCATCCCTGGGAGACCAAGTGATGATGGTTCCCCAGCTGCAGGGTGATGGAAAATTTCTTTTCTGCTCTCTCTCTGCTCCTCTCTGTGTATATACTGGGCTAGATGCTATGGGTTGAACATGGTTTTTGCACTGAGCTGCACACTGCCCCAGACTTTTTTTAAATTTCGAGATAGGGTCTTGCTAAATCACTAAGTTGACTGGGCTGGCCTCAAACTTGAGATCCTCCTGCCTCAGCCTTCCAGGAGGTTGAGATGACAACTGTGCATCACCACACCCAGCTCTTGAGTGCTCCTCTTTACACTGCTGCTCTCCAGGCCTGCTTTCCCTTGCAGTGGTCTCATTGTTGGCCCCAGTCTCTGGCTGTGACAAGATCTTGCCTTCTTCCTTGGACCGTGCTCTTGTCCCCAACTTGGAGGCTTTCTCTGTGGCTTTGGTCACACTATAGAGTCAGAAAGGGAGTTTGCAAATCCAGACTGAGCCTGAGCGTATGCAGCCCTGGGGCCCGGGATGACAGATGGACGTGACTGGAGTCCCAGGCCCTGTGAATAGTTGCCAGCGCCCCTTCCTGGGCAGTGACCTGTATCCCTGTCCATGGAAGGAGGACAGCTAAAGATTTTACACTTCCGTCTTGGGCCAGGACAGTTTGGGGGCGCAGCTTCACCAAGACATTCCCAAAACGGCAAGAAATGGCCATCCCTTCTCTGGCTGAATAAGAGTTCTGGGATGTGTGTGGGGGGCGGGTGGTATATATTGTAACCTTCAAGCTGGTGGAAAATTCAGCACCCCAATATCTTTAGAATTGCCTTTAAATCATAGCTATTTGCTAAGTACAGCGGTTTACAGTGTAACCAGTGCCTAGTGGACCAAAACTGGCCTCTGAATCTGAGTGACCCAGAGTTAGTGCACTTTTGCTTTTCCTATTTTGTTTTTGGTGGTATGGTACTGGGGGTTGAACCCAGGGGCTCTCCATGCTGGCAAGTGCTTTACCACTGACCTACATCCCTAGCTTCCCCTCTTTGTTTACTCTTTTTTGGGGGGTACCAGGGATGGAACGCGGGTCCTTGCGCTTGTTTTTTTACTTTGAGACAGGGTCTCACTGAGTTGCCGAGGCTGGCCTTGAGCTTGTGTTCTTCCTGCTTCAGCCTTCCAAATAGCTGAGATCCAGGCCATGTGCCACCACGCCCAGCTCAAAGTTGGTGTTCTCTGTCCTTCACCACCGCCTTTCTGTGCATCTACTCACAGGGGCCCTTTCCTCCTTTCTCATTTCCTAGGACTGTTCAGAGTCCAAGGCTGCACACTGTGTATCTCCTGCCCCTGACTTTGGCCTGTGGACTTGCCCTGCTCTGATTCTCTGCCTCAGAAAGGACCATGCAGCTGGAAATCAAAGTGGCCCTGAACTTCATTATCTCCTACTTATACAACAAGCTGCCCCGGCGCCGTGCAGACCTGTTTGGGGAGGAGCTGGAGCGGCTGTTGAAAAAGAAATATGAAGGCCATTGGTACCCTGACAAGCCGTTGAAGGGCTCTGGCTTCCGCTGCGTCCACATTGGGGAGATGGTGGACCCTGTGGTGGAGCTGGCTGCCAGGCGGAGTGGCCTGGCAGTGGAGGATGTGCGGGCCAATGTGCCCGAGGAGCTGAGCGTGTGGATCGACCCTTTTGAGGTGTCCTACCAGATTGGCGAGAAGGGGACTGTGAAAGTGCTGTACCTGGATGACAGCGAGGGCGGTGGTGCCCCAGAGCTGGACAAGGAGATCAAGAGCAGCTTCAACCCCGATGCCCAGGTATTTGTACCCATTGGCAGCCAGGACAGTTCCCTGTCCAACTCCCCATCGCCATCCTTCGGCCAGTCGCCCAGCCCGACGTTCATCCCCCGCTCCGCACAGCCCATCACCTTCACCACCGCCTCCTTTGCCGCCACCAAATTTGGCTCCACCAAGATGAAGAAGGGTGGCGGGGCATCAAGTGGGGGCAGTGTAGGCAGCAGTGGGGCAGGTGGCCAGCAGCCACCACCACAGCAGCCGAGCATGGCCCGCTCGCCCACCAGCAACCTGCTGAAGCACAAGGGCCTGTCTTTGTCTATGCATTCACTGAACTTTGCCCCAGCCAGCCCGGCACCTCAGTCCCAGCTCTCGCCCAATGCCAAGGAGTTCGTGTACAATGGTGGTGGCTCGCCCAGCTTGTTCTTTGATGGGGCCGATGGCCAGGGCAGTGGGGCCGGCACCTGCAACAGCAGCAGCTTCGACATGGCCCAGGTGTTCGGAGGTGGCACCAACAGCCTCTTTCTGGAGAAGGCACCCTTTGTGGAGGGCCTGAGCTACAATCTGAGCACCATGCAGTACCCCAGTCAGCCGTTCCAGCCCGTGGTACTGGCCAACTGACCACGTGCCGCCCGCGGGCCCCAGAGCACCCCAGACCACCAGCGGGAGAGAGGAAAGGAGAGGCTGTCGAGAAAGAGGAAGAGAAAAGTGTATAGAAAGATTACCAGTCTTCTCGCTCTCACCTCTACAAAAAGGACCCAGCCCAGGCATGGCGTGGGAGGGGGCTCCTGGAGCACCAGATTGTGTTTAACTCAATCCCTTGACTGTCTTCCTGCCTGGCTCTGATTTATTTGGTTGGTTTGGGTTTTGTATTTTTTTTTTCTTCTTTTAGTTTTTCTACATGTAGTTTTCTATAGCACATCTTTAATTAGCGGCTTCCTGTGCTAAGAATGGTCCAGATGTGAATTGCTGCTCCCTGCCCCTCCCTCCCTCCCTCCCTCCTTCACACTCCTTTAAGGTTTGTGTGGCCAAGCTCACAGGGAAAGAAGAGCTGCAGCTGGGGCCCGGCCCTCCCAGAGTAGGGAGAAGCTGGCCCTGTGTCACTGCCTCTGTCACCCAATTATCCTCTCACTCAAAGCCATTGGACCTTACCAGGTCTTCTCTGGCCCTGCCCACAAATAGCTCTGACCCCAGCCCCCACTCTCTCAGGCTGGGCCACCCGACACCCTCCCCCTAGAGCTATGACTGACTGCAGGGAAGTTAGCACTCTGTTTAGCTGAGATACTTTCATCTCTGACCTGTGTCCCTGTCCCACCCTCCCCTCCTGCCCTAGACCATCCTCGCGGCCCTGGAGACGCAGCCGTCGCTACATGTGGCCTCACTCTCTCACTAATGCAGCCCTGTCTGCTCTGGGCCTAAGGTTGTGGGTAGGGAGGTGGGGTAAGTGTGTGTATGCATGTGCATGTGACTCTGTATGTGAGTGAGTGCACATGGTTTGCTGTCCTGTTCTAAAGGATCCCAGGCCTTGTGACACTTCCCCTCTGGGTATGATTCTGATTGCAGCAAGTGCTTATTTATGTTCCGAGTTGGGATGGGCCAGGGGTGGGTGATCAGTCCTTTCATAGGGCAGGACCTGTGGTGGGTGACACTGTGGCTGAGCCTAGAACACTCCCAGGGGAAAGCACTGCAGGAGGAACTGGTTTCCAAACTGCAGAGGAATCTGCACTTTTGTTTTTGACCAAAAAAAAATCTGAAGGGCAAAGGGCTTAGCCAAGCCTCTGACACCTAGAGAAGTCCCTAGACTTCCCAGCCCTGTCCTGTGGCCCTGGCTGTGGTGTGAACCACTGCCCTGAGCCCCTGAGGGGATGGGGCTGGAGTTGGTGTCTCAGTGGGCATGCTGGGCCTTGATTGGAGGCATCCTGGTCTTCGGGTCGTAGATGTCATTTTAGTGCATGTGCACCCTGCCTGTGAGCTTCTTGTACCTCTTGCTGCCCTCACTCAAGCCCAGACCCTGATGCTGTGAGGGAGTTTCCTGGGCGGCGGACAGGACAGCCAGTGCCCTCTGAGCCTTTGGGCTGCAGGAAGGTGCACACCCTGCTGCCTCTGCAGAAGTGGGGGTTTCTTTAGCCCAGGAGGCAGCTTTCTTGCCCTGATGCTTTGGCAGGTGGGGTGCTTGGCATCAGGGCCCCATCACCAGAACACCAAAGCCCTGGAACCCCACCCTGTGCTATCTTCCCAGGGCACTGGGAAGCAGGCAACTATGGTGGCAGTGGATCTGACCCAGACAGATCCTGCCAGCCGCGTCTCCTTGCACTGGGCACTGGCTCTACCTCCCCTGGTGGGGCAAAGCCTTGGCTTCTCAGCCCAGCACCATCTGTCCCCCTATACCAGTCCACCCAGTCTGGGCCTCCCTCGCCCTCCTCCTCAGCTCCCGCACAGGTGACAGCCCAGGCAGACACATTTCTCTGGGAAAGGTTGGAGCTGCAGTACCCCCTTCCAGCCGCATCGTGCACACAGGAGCCACCCGCACTCAGGCTGCCTTGCTCCCCAGTGCTTCCCAGCACACCAGGGACAGGGAGACCCAGCCCCATGGTGTCTTTGGAAATCTGAAGAAAAATGGGTGTTCAGGAGCATGACTCCAGCCTGGGCTTCGGGCCCAGCTCAGTCTTGTCTCAAATCTAGGCATTTTTGCTTCAATTTTATTTTTTTTAAGAAAACAAAAACCTGCACTAATTTACCTGGTTTCGTAGGAAAACTTTTTTTTTTATTTTTTACATTTTTTGGTGTCTGTTTGTATTGAATAATTTGCTACATTTGTAAAATGTAAGAGGCATATATAATATATGTATATTTCTAACGTAAGAAACGTAATTTTTTTCTTTTCAAGATTTTTTCTTAAAAAGAGGAAAGAAACCAATATTTTTTCAGGAAAAAACAAACTTTAAAATAAAAAAAGGAGAATAAAACCTTTTTCTCCCCTTTCCCCATCCTATCTGTCCCTCTTTCCCAGGAACAAGTTGAAGGTGAATTATCTTGTAAAGATTGTACACTGTCAGTCCAGAATGGTGTCTTTTTCTCAATGCGGTGACTCTAGATTCTCTAGTTTTTTCCCTAGGAACAGGAAGGGGACATTGAGGCAAGCGTGGAGAGGGGCCAGGGGAGCAGGGTAATAACCTTTTTTTCTTTAGTGAAGGAGGAATACAATCAAGCATTTTGTATTCAGAATGTTGTGCAATATTTTGGAATGGAACATTGGTGTGTTTAGAGATTTAGTTTAAAAACAAAACAAAAAGATTGATCAAATCTGTACAGTTTATATTGTTCCAGATTTTTTTAAGTTTGTATTAAAAGCATGATATATAATAGCCCTCTGCTTATCCCTAGTTTGTTGTGCTTCTGGGGTCCCCTTTGGGATGGAGAGGAGGGAGGTGGCCCTGGCCCTGTAGGTCTCAGGAGACATTTGGTGATCTTCACAATGACTGAGCCCCCGGTGGACAGAATTGTCCTGGTGGCACTAAAATACTTTTAGGGCTCACACCCCTGTCCTTTGCACATTGGAACCAGGTTCCATAAGGGGCCGATTTCCTTTCAATCTCACCCACCACCTCCCTCGACATCAATGCCACCCAAGGCCCTGAGCTCAGCTGAGCCTGGGGTACTTGAAGGTATTTGTGGAAACCATGAGACCAGCCTGATTGATATACAAGGATTATCTTCTCACAGCTGAGAAGCGGGCCCTGAGATAAGATTAGCTGCCTAAACTTAGAACCAGTGTGTAGTGAGGCTGCAAGCCTGACTTGTGTCTGGTGTTGTTTAGTCAACCCTGTGGTCTGGAGTACAGTGTCCGAGAACAAACCACAGTGCCCACCTTTCAAACACCTTAACAAGTACTTGGTAGAGCTGTGCTAATTGCTGTGGGAGAACAGCACCTCCAAGCTGGGACGGGATGAGCAGGGCTTGTGAGGCATCAACAGGCTAACACTGGTCCCCAGCCACCGTGTGGGAGCTAGGAGCCCTGGAACCCAACTTCGACCTCTAGACAGTGTCCCCGGAGCCTGAGGCTCAGACCCTTGGCCGAGACAGCAGGCCACTTCAGGGTCTCACCCTGCTCTAGCCTAACGGGCCCAGCCTGTCCTGTGTGTGTCCAGGCTGCCCACTGGGCGTTGGCCCCACAGCCAGGGTGGAACTGCTCCTTCCCTGCTCCTTCCGATTTGTTACCATAGACACAGGTCCTGACTCAGCGGCTGCCATAGTCACCGCTCCCACTCACTGTCACACAGACCTGAAGGGCTTCGGTGCCACCCAACCTTAGGTCTACATAAGTGATTTGATTACATGTTCAGACCTCCATTTCTTCTCCAAGTGTACCTAGCTCTGAAGGGAATCAGACCCCAGGGGGTTGGGAGCTGCCTGTGGCCTCTCCCCTGCAGGAGGGGAAGGAAATCTGGTAGGCTCAGAGTTCCCTGCACCAGCATCTCTTCCTGTCCCACCTCCAAAAAAGCTTCATTTATGTTATGGGGGGGGGGGGCTGAGACAGGGTCTCACAATGTAGACCGATCTGATCTTGAATTCACTAGGAGCCTAGGCTGGCCATGAGCTAATGCTCCTGCCTCACCCTCCCAGGTGCTGGGATTACAAGTGTGCACCACCTCACCTGGCTCATTTATGTTATAGACAAACCCTCCATGCACATCTGCTCTGCCCTGGGAACACAGGTTGGAAAGCAATTTGAGAACAGCTCTGCACAGGGGGCCTAGGCACCCCTAGATCTGAGGCAGCTTCCTGGAGAAGGTGAAGAGAACAATTTAGCAGCAAGGAAAAAGGCGAGGCAGTGTCCCTTCCCAGGGAACCCAGCAGCCACTGAAGAGAAAGGACCCTCTCCTTAGAAGCTCAGCTTCTAGAGCCAGGTGTGGTGGTGCACACCTGTAATGCCAGCACTCGGGGCTGAGACAGGAGAATCACCTAAATTCAGGGCCAGCCTGGACTACATAGTAAGACACCCCTTCCCCTCTTTATTTCTTTCAGCCGAAAGAAAAGGAACCCAAAAGCACAGCTTCCAATCCCGCCTCTGCCACTTTCCAGGTGGAGGACCTTAAGCAAATCACCCCACTCCCCTTGGGACCTAAGTTCCCTACCCTCTAAGACAGGGCTAATAAATTACACCTCCTTGTGAAAATGAAATGAGTGGAAAATGCTGAGCACACAAGTTGGTCTGGAGTAAACAAGTAAATGGCAAGTAGCATTTTCATCATCGTGGTCATTATTGTTCATCCCCAAAGGCCACCGGCCAGCCCAGCCCAGCAGCTTCCCCGCTTCAGCAAACAGGCCAAACTCAAGCTCACCAGCAGCAAGACCAAGTGGGGCAGAAAAGGAAACTGAGGCAGACAACCTGGGCTGCTTCTCCTTGCCCTCTGCCTGGCTGATGGCATCCTGCCCAGGAACTTCATGCCCCTCCTCTCCAGGAGGGGGCAGGTCCTCCACATGTGTCTCCAAAACCTTTGGGAGTTTCTCCCTGGAGAGGGAGAGGCAGACAGGCAGACAGCAGGTGAGTCACTTGGCAAACTCCACTGCCTGAGTCAGTAACCCTAGGCCCAGGGATGGCACTGTCTGGTCCCCATCATTGCTACCTCCCCATGAATGAGCCTAGGGTAGAGGGGCACCTGCCCTCCTTTCCCTGGGCCTGGCCAGCCAGACTGGCCAAGTTCTGTCCGGGCACAGCCTGTGGACAGGCTTCACCCAGACCGGAAGTCCTCAAGGCCCCAGGTGACCTGAGCCCACCCTGCAGTTCATCTGGAGAATTTCACTGCCAGTGAGAGAAGTGGGCTCCAGGTCATGGAAGCTGCCAATTCACTGTGTAACCTTGAACCTCTCTTGACATCTTTCCCATGGCTGTGATGGGGGGGGCCCTGTTCCAGCAAGGCCAGGCAGGCTGCTCCCCAGGCCAAGCACCTCTTCCTGCCCCAAGAAGGAACCTAGGAGGACGCTGTGCGGTGGCACCTTTCCCAGGGAGGAGGGGATAAAATGACAGGCTGACCCTGCTGGATGCCCTCAAGGCACAAGAATCTCATCAAACTCCTGGGGGGCCATAGCAGTCAGGGAAGTCTGGGCTGGAGAAAAGGCTTGGCCAGGTGGCCTGGACATCTAGGTCCTCTTCCAGCTCAGCCCTCGTGTCCTCTGTTCCACGCTCAGCATTCAATATGGACCCCAGAGGTCAGGGTGCTGCTTAGCAGTAGTGCTTGCCATGATGCATGGGGCCCTGGATTCCATCTCTAGCACAAGTAAAAAAATAAAGCAACATGGAGCCCCCATAAATGCTGATACTGCTCTAGGCAAAACAAAGTCCTCACTCTCTCATTCCAGATTCTGTTGACCACAAATGAGAAAATGGCACATGGTAAGGAGGTTCCACTAAAAAAAAAATCACAATCAAGTGGGGTATGGTAGTACATGCCTATAATCCCAGTACTCAGGAGGCAGAGGCAGGAGGATCTCAAGTTTAAGGCCAGCCAGGACTGCCGAGGAAGACCCTGTCTTTTGGTACCTGGGATCAAACTCTAGTCCTTGTGCTTTCAAGGCAGGCGGTGGAACCACTGAGCTAAATCCCTGGCCAGAAGACCCTGTTTTTTTTAAAAAAGGCAATGACAACCAATGATGGTAGCTGGCAACCAAGTGACCCATTTTTTTTTTTTTTGGTACTGGGGATCAAACTCGGGTCCTCGCGCTTGCGCAGCAGGCAGCGAAACCACTGAGCTAAATCCCCAGTCCCCAAGTAGCCCTTGATCAGGGCAAGAGAGGCCTTTCTGACCAAGGGGGTTTCAATCTGTAATATGCTTTCCAAGATCTTTTGGCAAATGTTGGACAGCAGCAGAGGGGCAGAGGGACCGGATGCTTCAAAGGGCGAGAGGCAGAAACAAGTGCAGATGCTCAGGGCAGCAGCACAAAGTGAAGAGGTCCCAGGGTCACATCATGGGCCCTGCAGCCCAGATGGAATTTTTTTTTTCAGTGCTGGGGTGGAACCCAGGACTTGTGCATGCTAAACAAGCACTCTACCACTGAACAACCTGGGAGCTGGAATTTTATCTTACCCCAGGAGAGCTTTCTCTCACACATTCAATCAACAAACTTTCCCAGAGCCCTTCCTTTGTGCCAGGCCCTGACTTTTCTTGTAGTACTGGGAATTAAACCCAGGGCCCCACACATGCTAAGTGAGCACTCTACTACTGAGCTACATCCCCAGCACTTTTCTAAATTTTGAGACAGAGTCTCACTAGGTTGTCCAGGCTGGCTTTGAACTTGAGAGCCTCCTGAGTAGCTGAAATTATAGGTTTTTGCCACCATACCTGACTTGTATATGACTTGTGGTTGTTTTTATTTTTTGGTATCAGGGATTGAACTTGGGTCCTTGCATTTGCGCAGCAGGTGGCAAAACCACTGAGCTAAATCCCTGGCCCTTGTATATGACTTCTTTAGGCCACAAGAGCAAAAATCCCAAAATATAGACCCTTTCAAACTTTCAAAGAAAACAGAAGAGAGTTCTGTGGTCTCGAGATAGGCAAAGATTTCTTAGATATCCTCCAAAGCCGTGATCCATGACAGAAAAATGGAGAAATTGATGTCACCAAAATTAAGAACTTGTTTTACTTAGGAAGACACTGTTAAAAGAATGAAAGGATAAGGGGCCGGGGATTTAGCTCAGTGGTGCCGTCGTCTGCCTCAAAAGCGCAAGGTCCCAAGTTTGATCCCTGTACCAAAAAAACAAACAAACAAAAAAACATAAGCCACAGGAAGGGAGAAAATATTTGCAAATCATAAATTTTAGGGCTTGTATCCAGAATATGTAAAGAACATTTACTGGACTGCCACAATGCAGCAGGCATGTAATCCCAGCTACCTGGGAGGCCAAGGCAGGAGGACTGTAAATTTGAGCCCAGCCAGAGCAACTTAGGCAGATCTTGTCTCAAAATAAAAAAGAAAAAGGCCTGGGGATGTAGCTCACTGATAGAGTGCTTGCCTAGCTTGCATGTGGCCCTGGGTTCCTTCCCCAGTAATGCAAGAAGGAAGGAAGGGAAGGAAGGGAGGGAAGGAGGCAGGCAGGCAGGCAGGCAGCCAGCCAGCCAGCCAGGCAGGCAGGCAGGCAAAAAGGAAGGAGAAAGTCCATGTGGAGACACATCCTCAGGGAACGCAACAATGTGGCAGTTAAACCAAGCCCTAGACTGGACAGAGGAGCCCTGAGGAGCAGGCTTGTGTCTTCACGCTCCCTCCCTGTTAGGGGCCTTCGGCCCCTCTTGTTCAGCACCATGCAGCCTCTGCTATGGCTGTGTGGCTCTGCAGGAAGCTTGCCTTCTCTGTGCAGCTCAGCTTTCTTAT